GTGTTGTCTATCAATTGAACACCTTATATGTTACTCAACGACAGCCACTGTTCCATCAACTTAGGCATGAAGGATTGCTTTTGGTTATTTGTTTCAGATATGTTGGTGTTGGTGCATGGAGACATGAAGAAACCAACTACATGATTTCCTTCTTTTCTGGTTTATGCCCGTTACTTGAAGTTTGCATTGTGTTACTTATAGTCCTTTCTTTGTTAGTAAGAATCGTTTCTTTGTGATTAATGCAGTTTCAATCAAATGGATGAATTTCCAGTTGAAGAAAGCTGGATACCAAAAGCAGGTTACATGTAATCCCAAATGGCAATTGTGGTATCACATATTTACATGTTCTTTCTTGCTATGTGCTCCACTGAAGAATCAACTGCTTCGTTTTCTCTATGCATTGATTTCTGCTTGAATTTGTTCCAGGGTTTTTCCCTTTGTTTCAGGAACCACTCTGACCACAAACAATATACCCACCGCATATATTGCAGCATAAAGCATGAAGGTACCTGTCCAAGCCATGAAATTGCAGATGATAAAGTTCTCAATTACTCCCTAACTGAAGGGGAACTTAAAGATCAAAAGAAGAAAGCTTTGTTTTCTTTACCAGAAGAGCTCCAGCATAAGGAAGTTGAAGGAGTAAGAAACTGCCCATGCACCAAACCAGTTCACCAGTGTTGCTAGGCTTCCAGCTACTCCTTTAATGTTTATTGGGAATATCTGCAACCAAACTCGAGTTCGAATATCAGATACGGGTCATACTCCAACAGTCATGTTCGGGTATGTGTTGGACATGAATGTCGGATTACCGATAGAACTCCGATACTTCAAGAAAAATGAAATAAGTAAGGTCGGAGCTACGTGCCTCAGACATGATAACCCAAGGAACTGCACCCATTCCAGCTGAAAACGAACTTATGTATATCTGATCACAAATAGGATTAGTGTCACATTTTTCTAATGAACAAATTGAATGGATATCTATACGATTCCATTAAATTTTTTTGAGATTTACCAATATGCCTGCTAAAGCAAGAATGGGAGCTGAATTTAGTGCCAAATTATGGTCCTTGAGATAGAATGAAATCCCAGATAGTATACAGGCAATGACCAATCCTGTTGAAGAAACCTATAATGAAAACAGAAACTCTAGATGAAAAAGATTTGGCTAGGAAATTTAAGGACTTGATGATTGTTCATTGCTCTAAATGTTTACCAATAATAGAGGCTTTCTTCCTGCTTTATCAATCACATATGTGCAAAGGACTGTAATCGGAAGCTGCATAAATGATTGTGTTAATCAGTTGTTTTCCAGGAACATTTACATGGATGTCTAGGAACGGGGGAGATGAAACCTGAAGAATAGCATAAACTATTGTCCCTGTACTGGAGGAGACTCCTGAGACACATGAAGTTCAAAGGCAACAACGTTAACGATCCAATAGATTTGAGGCCAACATGCAATCAGGGTCTAACTCGAAAGGGTCAATTACCCGCAGACTCGAAAATATTGCTGACATAAAAGCAGATCCCATTGATTCCTCCAAATTGTTGGAAGACCATTAAACCAACTCCTATCTGATCAAAGATTAATTAAGGACGTAATAATTAGAATATTATAGTGAAAACTTGTGATTGCTAATGTTTGAAGAAGATCAATCGTACTTACAACGACAGGTCGTAAGTACCTTCGTTGGAACAAATCAAGCATCTTGGCTTTCGGGATCCGTTCAAGAGTCTCTATGTAGTCCTGTCAAGCAAGAAAAATAAGTTTTTAAGATTAACTCATTTGTTAATGTTGGTAATGATGATAAGAGTTCAGATTAAGAACCTGAATCTCAGCTACCTCCTTCGATATATCAGCATCCTTTACACGAAGATTTTTTAGCTCAGATTCGAATTCTTTTTCATGTCCTATCTTTGCCTGCATTATATCCAAGATTTTCAACCAGTTCCTTTTCATGTTACTATAATTTCAATGTAAAAATAGGATTCCATATCACCAGCCATCTAGGAGACTCTGGAATGAAAAGGAGTCCAACAAGCATAATTGCACAAGGAATGAGTCCTGCAATCGCACTACTTATGAGTCCGGCTTGTGTCATGTAGCTTTACAAACACGCACACATACACAAACATTCACGGTTTTTCCGAAGAGTTGTTTTTCACCATTGTTACTTTGAATATATGGACATATCAAATTTACCAGCTAATGCTAATGTCCTCCAAGCTAGAACTGTCCCTATTATGAAGGAGACTGACACTCCAGTGCAAATCATAAGCTGTAGAAAGAAGATGTGAATTAATGAGACAAATCATTGTGCATATTTCATTGGATTTTAATCTTTGTTATGCATTTATACACACTCAGCGATGGATGCCTGTTAAGCTGATATTAAGATAATGTTACCTGGTGGACAGCTGTTAGTGTTCCTCGAAGATTCTTTGGCGCGATTTCAGCTATATATACCGGTACCTTGTCAAGAAAGGCGTCATGGTCATCAATAAAAAGGTTTCAGGAGGGAATTCTGGAAGAGATTTGGAAACTCACAACATATGATAAAACCCCATTCCATAGCCTGTTGCCAATCTTCCAATGTACAAAGACAAAGCCCCCTTTTCGTTTTGATCAAAGACATCGAAAAAGGGTATCAATATATTTCTGCATAACTGGTCAAGCTTAAGCAATGATAAATTCAGAGGTGAAGCAGTATCAATAGTACAACCTTAGCAAAGTAAATAGCAAGCCACCCTGCAACACAGAAGCCAGTAGCTGTTCTCATTGCCTGCATATATTTAGAAACGAACATAATGCTACATCATATAATTATCTTACCAAAGGAATTTTTTTATTAAAACTTACCCCTTTCCGACCAATGAAATCAGAAATCTGTCCGCTCATGATTGCACCAATCATAGCACCGGAAGTAAGGATAGAACCAAACACCGAATACTGCAGATTGAAAGATCAAATGCATCAGATTTAATTTGCTAGCTTCAGCTGCAAGAAAAGGTTATTATAGTTTCAAATACACCTCTTCTAGTGTAAGAGAGAGATCTTTTGTAATTGCAGCCTGAGTAGGAGATGAAAAGCCTACCTGAATACGATTTCAACATTTAATTTCAACTCATGGAAGTAAACATTACAAGAAAAGCTCATTCTCAGATGTAGAGAGAGTAGTGATCGAGACTTACACAGGATCCGAACTCGAATGATCCACAGACCACAACAACGGTGCTGAGGTAAACCATCCATGGACTAGATTTTTTGCTTGTTTCATTGGAGAAAATCTTCTGTTCTTGCAATAGTGGTATGCTTACATCTTCATGCACATTGTTGCTACATTTCTCAACATCCTCTTTGATGTTCATTGTATCCTTCTCTATTTAACTTACTGGATATCGATGCAAATTAAACAGAGAAAATGCTCGAAGCAAAGTGTCGAAAAAGAACAAAAAAACTGAATCTGATTTGAGATTGGTCATGTTCCAAGAAGCAAGCACAAAAAGAGTAATAATTAATTAGTGGTTTCTTTAGCAATGTTGACTTTTGAGATCGATCAAAACAGAGCCTTCTTCAAGTCTAAGATCGACGAGATCATTGCCTGATGACACAAGTAACATTAAAATAACAACTGACGTAAAAAATAAGACAATTTGATCCGTTTCACATAACATGGATTTGTTTTCATTGACCAACTTCTTGTTCATGGATGCACAAAGATAAAGCTACGATCCTTTAAGATGATAAAAATATGATGGGGAAAGTCTGACTACAAACAATTTTTAATGCCGTTTCGAGCAATGAGCTGTGTTTTTCCATTGTTTAAAGCCACTAGCAAACAAGAAAAGAAAATAATAGTATTCTAGTCTTGGCCCTGGTAAGATTTTCTATATTGGGTTTAGACCTAAGTAGCGTGGGGTGGGACAGGCCGGTTTTTTAGCCGTCCGATCTGAATATATATTATTTTATTCGATTTTGTTAGACTTCGATGATTATAAATCGTTCTAATTTAATTTGTCTCTGATTTAACCCGATCCAAATATGTTAATATTTAAAATTATTAAAATAATATATTTTATAATAATTTATTATATTTTTAATAATTTATTATATTTTTAATAATTATATAATATAATTTAACACTATAAAAAGTATAAATTCCTAAAATTTTAAATATTATATATGTATAAAAGGTTAAATTAATAATTTATACTTAAATTAATAATTTATATCGAATCAAGTCAGATCGATGATTTTCATCTTAAATTGAGTTCCATCCTGCCTTGAACATAAAATAATTTATACCAAATCGATGCCAAATTTTTTGGAAATTACAACTGTCCGTATAAGATGGGGTCAAGACCCATTCGGGGTATTTTAACCATGCTAGACGTCAAACTTGCAATAATTTGAGAGAAGGGGAAAAAACGAGGGAGACCGTCATCAACTGCGTGACCATCCTAGCAAGACAAGTCTAGCTGGGAACGATCCTCTGCGGTCGACCAGACAAGAAATCACGCTCTGATCACACAGAATGAGCTCATGCTCATCAACCAGACATGGAATCTGTCTCCTTAGAAGTTAAGGATATGGAGGTACGAGCCTATAGCACTGACAGAACAGTCAGTATTTTATCCTACGCGTATCTTTCAGCTTGTCAGGATGATTAGTGAGTGGGACTTGTCAGTCGATAATCTTCATTAATATTAGATAGGCATGTATTCACTTTAAAATATTATAAAATTTATTTTTTTTAAATCAAATTTTTTTGTTATTGTATATATACTCACCGTTAAATTTTATTATATAAAAATATGTGTTCATCTCAAAAAATATTTTAAATCCGTATTTTGTGATTCAAGACGGAATTAATGTTGTTAGACATTCACTACCTTGGGCTAGAGAAGAAAATTGTTATATGCTACTCGACCATGGCCACCAATCCATCAGCTTTGCCTATGTAATCAAGTGAAATAATTTAAAAAGAAATGGGAAAGGTCTGTCAGACAACTGCGAGACCGTCCCAGCAAGACAAGGCAAGCTAGGAGCGATCCTCTGCGATTAAAGTGATCCTAATAATGGGTCATCAAACCAGTAATCACGTTCTGATCTCACAGTCGCAATTCAACAACCAGACATGGAATCCTGTCTCCTTAGAACTGAAGGATACAGAGGTACGAGACTATAGAACATATCCTGTTCAAGCAAGGTCGTGCCCTATATGCTCCTGGTTCTAACTTAAATACCGATTATCGTTTTCTGTCCCACCTGAGGTGGGATATTATTCAGCTTCTGAAAAAACAGTCGGTGTTTTAACCTACACGTGTCTTCCATAATCTCTGGGTGCCACAACGATTGGGAACCACCCAACATACTCAAATATATCTTTTAGACCTAAATAAGAAGCGTTTAGTTTGCATTGTGTTACTTATAGTCCTTTCTTTGTTAATAAGAAGAGTTTCTCTGTGATTAATGCAGTTTCAATAAATTGGATTTACTGAAATTGATGAATTTCCAGTTGAAGAAAGCTGGATACCAAAAGCAGCTTACAAACTTCTCTACTGATTTGAAGGTGAGAAAACCTGTTGATTTTGAATAATTCTACCTGTGGAATGTCACTTCTATAGACAAATTTATTTACTATCATGGATTTCAGTGTTACATTGATCTTTAAATCGGGGCTTTAAGTTCCATGAACTGGTGAAACAATTGCAGGATGTGTTAGTGTTTAGTATATCCAATAGTTCAGTACATTCGCAAAGAACACCATGCTATTGAAAAGGATTTGATTCCTGGTTACAGATAACCAATAGTTCTTGCCTGCACTATTTATGTAGCTCTTTCCCTGGTCATTTTAAGTTTCTCAACTTCTTGATGAGAAAAGTTGGATTGTTGTAGCCTCTAACGGTTCACTTTTTTTGGTTTAAACGAAGAGCTGCAACCAGTAATTCTGTGGAGGGAAAATTAGAAAGCATACAGATTAAAATCGATGATGAACAGTCGTTAAAGAGAAAAAACTCGTTAGAGAGAAAAGTCTGACATAACATGGTGACTTGTATACTAAGGTGTTAAAACTATGGAGGATGATTATTTATAAGTGGACAGATTAAATAGATTTAATTGTTAGATAGTAGATAACAAATTATATAAGCATATCGGTGAGGTGTTGTAGTTGTTTAAAAGATACACAGTTCTGGAGAATTTAAGGATTTCCAGAAACCTTATGAAACTTCGAATGGAGAAATAGTAAGAGATGTGGGTTCTTGAGGAGATCTAAGGAGGCACAACACTTGTCCTTCTTTGATCGAGGAAATGTTTATATATTTAATGGTAAATTATATGTTTAGTATCTAAACTATTAATTTTGGCCCGTTTTAGTATTTAATTTTTTAATTTTTTCACAATCATACCTAACATTTAATTTTTGTTTCATTTTAGTATATGTTGTTAAAAACTTAATGTGTTTAGTATTTAAACTATCGATTTCGATTCATTTTAATACTTAAACTTTCAAAAAAATTTCCAAAACTTAACGTTAAATGAACCAAATATTTAGATATGATTTTGAAGGTAAAAAGAATAATTAGGTGAACAAAAAATGAGTGCAAAAAAAAAGATTCAAATAAATTCTCTACCCTAATATTTTTATGTAAAATCCCAAAATCATAAAATAACAACAACAAATTGATCTAATAGGATGAGATAGTAGATCTTTTAAGTAAAGTCATCTAAACATTTGTGAATAGAGTAATCTAAGTTGAAAGAATTGACATTGTTTCTGTAGTATTCGATCTGAATTTGTCGATCAATAGATCATATATTGTGGTTATTAAAAAAAACCAACAACAAAAAAACTAGTCATAAAAGGCTATTTAATTATCAGATTTCACATATATTGAATAATTGATTCGAGCAAGCGATGAAAACAAAAAGGTGCAGGGGGTGTTTTGTGAAAGATGAGAAAGGAAATGATACACAACCGTTATTGCAAAGAGTGAGGGAAAAAAAGTGAGAATTGTAATTGAAGAATCGGATCAGTTTGGATTTTAATTATCGGAGTTTAAGTTCAATCCATACTCTAAACAAGTCTAGTTTTATTATCTAAATATATCTTTTGTCTAAACTTTAATTCTAATCATCTAAATATTGGACAAGTAAGTGAATGCTTGGATAAGTGTAATACAGATGCGATGGAAAGGGGCACACGTGGGTGGATGAAAGAGACGACAGTTGCGAGAGTTACGTGAACGTGCAAAAGGAAGACTGGTAAATGCACCTGCAACGATGGTCTAACCCCGAGAAACGGCACGTCATGATGGTTGCAGTACTTTTGGTTGTTGGGGTTTGGTGCGTTCCCCATTTATAATTAAAGCTTATCTCTTGGACCAAAATTGATGCTGTGGGGGAACTCCACGGTTGTGTTTGGTTTTATTTTCCCATTCATTGTTTCTACCTGCAGCAGCAGTATGTAGTATGAGAGTTTAAAGCTTTAGCTTGCTTCTGTTTATTGAGTATTATTATTGCCTGCAAATCTCACGAAGTTAAGTGCTTGGTTTCTTGTTACTTCTTTGGTCACCGTTACACACATTAATTATTTGAGTTTACCACATTTATTTTCCTTCATCAGCTAAGGGACTAAATGCTTCTTATGACATTGTTTACGTTCTACTCCTGGCAAGCATTTTAATGCAAGCACACATTTTAACCGTGGTACAAACTACACCTTTTTTAATAGTTTAACGTCATTACAAGATATATTTGTTCATAATTATTAATAATGCACACGTACTCGTAAACATAATTGTTTAAATAAATGGTAGATTCAGAATTTTAAGAATAAGATTTAAAATTTTAATTTTCTTTTGTTAAAAATAATGGTATGTCAATTTTTTCTTTTTTTCTTAACACGTAAAACTAAATTTAACTATTTTCTTAAAATAATGTGATTTACATGAGCCCATAAGGGTTTAGTACATTCCCTTGGTTTGAACTTAAAACCTTTAGAGAGGTAAAGCTCAACTTATTTACCTAATTTTTTGAATAAACATTTGAAATTTTATGACAACGAAATAATCTCTTTATAAAATTATTCCTCATTATTTTCTATAAAAGAAAGGCTTTAACTTCTCATTTTTACACACTTCAATAGTCTATTTCTCTATTTTTTTCACCTGTCTTTTAAAAAGATCATTGTTATTAAAGTTTCATATTCTTATTTCGAGTGCGCAACATTTATAATATTATGTGAATCATGGATAGTATAATGTCCAGTTTCGAGACTACATTAACCCAAATGAATTTATTTTTAAATTGTTGATAAAATTATTACTGTAAATTATAATTCGAACAATTTGAACTCAAACTTGACCTGATCTGATTTGAAGATAAAAGAATAATTATCTAAATTAATTTAATTTGAATTGAATTACCTAAACTAAAAATCGATTCAAACTATTCAATCCCAAAATGACCGAAATAAGTAAACTAAATATTCATGGTCTAAAATGTCAAAATCCACAATGAAAAAATCAAAATGAGCTAAACTTGAAAGTTACCAAAAATCGAAATCATATGAACCTAAACCCTCCTCATTTTATGTATCAACTATAGTTTCAATCTAGCAAACCCCAGTTCTTTATCATTTTCATATCATCATATGTAAAAAAGAACATGAACCAAAAGTAAAATTGAAAAGATTAAATCATAGAGGGAGATAACAAAGTTTCCTATTTTGGCCACAGCAAAATCATTGAGATTTCAATTATATATACTAGCATATTTTAAAAGTTAAAAGAGATAGACACGAACTTAATTACTTCAATAATTAATAAAATGATTACTATTTTAAATGTTTATTGTCAAATGATTAAGAGTGTCTTTAAAATAATATTGTCACTGATAAACACACTGAATTAATAAAAAAGCTAAAAAAACATTGTCAGTGATCACATTAATTTTGATTAATGATTGTTTTTATATATTTTATGTTTCCCTATAGTTTAATAATTTGAGTTATGTTATTTTTGTGTTTAATTAGTCTTTTATTTTTCACATGAAAATAGATAATTTTTTGTTTGATTTGGTAGAATATTTTTATGTTAAATTTGACATTGAATCTTTAAATCAAGAAAATATTTATTTAGTTATCATGTTGATTTAGTCTTACTTTGAATCTTTGAATAAAAATTAATAGGTATTTGAGTATATGTTGCAATTGAGTTGTAGTGATACTAATTCGTGAATGAATCATCACTTTTATATATAATTTTATGTTAGTATGGATTGTGATTATAATCGTCAAATAGGATGTTTGTTGATATATATAATTTATTTAAATTATTTGACTGGATTTTCAGTTTTTTTATTTATAGTTTTTCAGATAATTAATTTGAACACTACAATAATTTTAAGAAAAATATCTCATTTAATATTATATATCAAAAATTTTATTTATTTGTTATTTTGATTCTTAACCGATATTAATGTGAGACCTCTAAACCAGTCAGCTTCGTGGCTCGTGGCTCGTGGCCGTGGGTGTATTTAATTGCTTCTTCCTCCCAACTTAGCTGGGAATGTTCACCGGTATGGTCACATGATGTCTGATTCGAACCACCGTCTCTCTTACCTGCTGACATGTCACCCGAACCTAGCTCTTACATCCCACGTAGGCTCGGACAACCGTTTATTATCGAACCTACCAACAATAAGGAAACAAAATCAGAACAGTAGAAAACCAATAAACAATAACAATAGCAAACTAATAAAACATAGATATACTCACGCCATTCGTAACTTGCCAGTTCCGTTAATCAGTGTTGGAGGAAATAAGCCGTGAATGTTGTGCATCTTCTCTTAGAAGCCGAAATCATGAAAAAGTAAACCCCCCCCATCTTCAACAAGAGAAAAACAGAGAAGCAAGCAATAAAAGAAAGTGGATTCAGAAGCAAGAATCCAAACCAAGTCTTTCATCTTTCTTTCTGGTCTTTTGCTTATTTTTCAAGCCAAACCTTTGTTTTCTTTTTTTTTCGCCATTAAAAGCTTTCACGGTTTGTGTCCCACGAAAATCCCACCTTCGCCAACCCGAAAGTATCCCCTTTTTGTTCTTATATAAGCAGTCTCTTTGCTTTACTGGGAAACTCGAGCTTTTAGCAATGGGTGAACAAGGAAGAAGAATGAAGATGGTTGCTCTGTTTCTGGTTGCTCTGTTTCAATGT